ATGTTCTGATAGACGCTGGAGAAGTGTGGTTGGGATGTGCTTGAACCCTGTGGTGGTGTTTCCATGGTGGCCAAGCCCTCATCTTATTTGAACAAGAGTGTTAAATTCAAGAAATCGCCTAATGATGGAGGCAGCACTCAAAAGGAAATGATGTCCGAAGTTAAGCTTGATGACTCAAACATCAGGGAAGTCATTCACAAGGCTACTGGTTTATGCATCAACAGTGGTTCCTGGACTGGAATTCCTGGCTACTGTCGGTTCACCATTGCTCTCGAAGAAAGTGAATTTGAGCGCGCATTGGATTGCATTGTTAAATTTAAGGACACCATCAAGAACTGATTCTTTTTTTCTTTAAAAAATAAAAATAAATTTATTATTGCTTGAGCTATTGTGGCGCACGCCAATCCCACCATCAGTTTCTACTACACTCAAAGTAGGGCTTCTATAATGTGTTTTTGCCCTTTTCCATACACAATGTACCAAGTCATTTATTTGAGTGTGAGCTGATGATGTGTTCTATAATTCCATAACCTTCTTCCTTTGTGAAACAATCCCAATCAATACCGTAATAAATTTGTGTATTTTCTCTAGGATTTCTGATTTCAATTTACTTACGTTAATCTTAACCTCATTCAATCATATCACAGCCCTGGTAATATTATGCTGCTTACAGTTTAGTTGAATAATTAAAAGGTTCTTGGCTCATCTCACTCATATGGTATTCTGAGATTTTTCACACATTCATGTTACATGATTGAGCTAATAACTTCATAAGGGTGTCCGGATCGATTGTCCCTGAAACATGTGCAATCCCGGCTTGTGCATCAATGGTGTAAGACATGAATTTGGTGATTAAGATTAATTAAAGTAAAATCAGTTGTGCAGATCATGAATTCAAGCAATGCAACAGAACTTGTGGAATTGATTCAAAGAAGAAATATATAATAATCTATGTATATATATATATATATACACACACGTACGTACCCTTGATTTTGCTCAAAACTTTGGTCATGGTCTTGTGCCATCCAGAGGAACTGGTATCCAATTTCTCACAACACTGCAAAAACAATAATCCAAAAATGAAATATAAGCACCCTATTTTGCCAAAATCAATCAAGAAAATGAAATATAATTTGGAAATTAAAATAGGAAGATAAATTAAGGGGCTTGTAAGAGCGTTTATATATTTTTTTCAACCGTATAGCCGTCCGGCTATACTCGGTTCATAGAATTGTCAACGGTATCGCCGCGCGGCTATACTGGGTTGATAGATTTTTCAACAGTATAGCCGGGCGGCGATACTCTGGAGATAGAAATTTTCAAACGTATCGCCGAGCGGCTATACTCTGTAGATATAATTTTCAGAAGTATAGCTGACCGGCTATACTCTGTCAGAAAATTTCAACAGTATAGCCGTCCGGCTATACGGTGTAGATAAGTAGAAATTTTCAAAAGTATAGCCGCCGGCTATACTATGTAAATAGAAATTTCCAATGGCCAGAGTATGTACAAGAGAACTTTTTGGATCTATGTATACGTAGGGGTTTTTATGGTGACCTGTTTCTTTATCTTTTTGGTCAAACTTTGGTCCAACCTGTCCATAGAATGAAGATCCCAAAACTCTTATGGATCTCATATATATATATATATGAACCAATTGAAAACTGGATAGACGATTGTCTACCTATTTACATAATGCATGAGACTTGAAGGTACCTCAAACCCATATTTACCCCGCTATCTACCTCTCTCCCTCTCTCTCTCTCTCTCTCTCTCTCTCTCTCTCTCTCTCTCTCTCTCTCTTGTTTTGTCTCTCCTCAACAACAGACACAGAAGGTTGCTTGCTTTTCTTTGTCTGATCCAAACGCCACGTGTAATATGAGGGTTGTTTCTTTTTCTTTCTGGAACATTCCCAAAATCTCTGCTTTTCTATCTTGAGACCCTCCTAGATTGATCTCTGTTTCTCCATGAAAATCACAACAAAGAAGAATAATCAAACCCCATCCTATATACTTTTGGCCGCGCGGCTATACTTTGTAAAGTGTTATTTTAAACGTACGGCGGCTATACTTTTCCAGGGGCATAGCTTGTAAATGGAAAGTATCGCCGCGCGGCTACACTCTGCATATAGAAATTATCAAAAGTATCGCCGCGCGGCTACACTCTGCATATAGAAATTATCCAAAGTATCGCCGCGCGGTAATACTCTGTAAATAGAAAATTTCAAAAGTATAGCCGTGCGGCTATATTGAAAACGGTATAGCCGCAAGGCTATACTTTGCAGATAGAAGCTTCAAACGGATAGCCGCTCGGCGATACTCTGTAAATATAAAATATTTTGGATATTTTTAAAAAATTACTTTAACCACAAAGTCGGACTATTACGTAGTAACTTACATAGTACAACACAAACAATTTCATATTGATATTATTAGCGGCTTTTATTGATCATATTAATATTGTTAGCTATAAAAGGAAGTTAAAACATTGAGAGAGATTTAAGTACGAAGATGAGGTATTTGATTTAGTAACGAGCAAAAGAAGAAATTATTACTTAATGAAATTGATCGAGTAATCCATATTTGTTTTTTTTTTTTAATCAAGGTGAAAACTTCATTAAAACTTTCACAAAAGAGTCATACAATTAGAGAAAATTGGAAGCAAGAGGTGCATCAAGTGTGCCATCGTTCAAATCTTACAAAATCCGTTAAGAAAAAAGAATACCACGCATCACAATACAAAAACAAACTATTGGACTTCACTATCAGCTGGTAAGGAAAATCCACATTCTTAACAAATATAGAGCAATTATGAATGGTAAATAACTTCTTTCTTTTTTTTTTTTTAAGAATCCCACAAGATGCCTATATTTCGAGTTAAACACTTTTTTTTTACATGGTAGGGGAATTTTTTTTTTTCATTTCATACAAATTGTAAGAACATTGGAAATGGAAAAATTCCAAAACCAATCTTCAACTACAAGTTTGAATCCGGTCCTCCTTACTAAAGATTGATAACACTTTTCTGCCGAATTTTGTTGTAAATTATGTAATTCTTAATAACTTGTTCTCTTTGGATATCTCTTGTGGGATCGTAATTTATAAATTAAAAAAAATGAGACTAATGAAATGATTTGGTAGATTTTGGGAGCCACAATAACGATGAGCCCAACTGCACAGTGAAAGTATTGAAAGTGAGGTCCATGATCGGATTGCCCAAGCTTATCCTATAGATTTGCATTATATTTGGGGGCCATTGTCTTCCTGAAGAGCTAGCCCTTCACAAAATGCATATTGCTTAAGAAATTGCCTATAGATAATTAATTCATCATGATCAAAACTCTATATTCAATTCTTATATTATATGTATGGACGAAGGAATTGCATGAGCAATCTTTATCCAGTATTAATTTCACCTATAAAAGTTTATCCATACCATATCTATGTTGGTATATGTAGAACAACTACATTCAAAAATATTCAACATTCTCCTTTAAAAATCGGAGAATCGTAAAGCAAACTAAACCAATGAAAAACCAAAACTCATAGCCCGCATTTTATATGTAGTGGGCATCATATATATAATATATGTAGAGCATTAGTTAGAATTTAAAACTCCAAGCCTAAATTCCATGGCATTTTAATTTCATTAGTTGATCACATGATGGTGCATTGGATGTTTGGATCATAAAACGGTTGAATTTCACTCCATGATGGTGGCTGTGGAAAACTCAATAGGGGCGCTGTCGGTTCATAGTAATTAGGGTGGTACCGCCGATGATGGTAAGGATCTGTTGTTGCATTGTAGGAACATGTTCCATTGAGATTATAATATCCATAATCATGATTGTTATAATAACCCTGCCCAAAACCATGTGCATTTCTGTAATGAGCAATAGGCTTTGCCCTGTAGAACTGATCCTTAATTATACCTTGAGTCAGCCAGATCTAGGAGTACATTTGAAAACCACAAAGGCTAGAAACGAACAAAAATTAAAAGACCACTTGTTTATACCCAAAACGAACAGCCAATGAGGGCCAGACACGTGGACAAAGATTGTGCCTAACCATGGTGGCTTTTGGCAGCCAGCCTACCGATTCCTCGATTAGGGCAATCTCCTTATCCAGGTTACGTGGCAGGCCCACAATCGATGTCTACAGTCCCACATCGAAAATCTACACAACAAGCACACCTCCCAAGACTTATAAAAGGAGCACAATTCCCCAAAATGAAGATAATCATAACTTACGGCATACTGCCTATTGATCTGTCAGTTTAAGCTTACTAAATCCGTACTTACTTAAACATCGGAGAGCCTTCAGCCGGTATCACACCGGTGCT